ATGTATGGGTTACATACATACATACATACATACATACATACATACATACATAAGATTCTTTAATGATGGTACATTGTTTTGGCAGTAACCCATCCATTCATCCATGTTTGCCTCTGTGTCCTGGACCCAGATGAGCAGAAGAAAGTGGATGCATGGATGGATGGATGGATGGATAGGTTACTGCCAAAACAATGATATGCCATTAAAGTAGAACATTGCATGCACTTACTTAATGCTTATGCCATAAAAAATGTTCATGGTTTGGCAAACAAAGACATTTGTTTAATATCAACAAAGGGGTACACATTTTGGAGTACAGTATTTACAATATAGCGCACTTTTTTCCTCTTACAGCAAAACCACAACTTGGAAATAACTCATCTGTTCTACAAGAACGCCATGTTGTTCAGCAATTACTGCCAGAACCAAGAAAGGCTGGATAAAAGGTACGTTATCCATAGCAGTCAGATCTAAAGAGCTGATATTACCCAGCTGACAACTGCTGTGCTTCCATACTTGACTGTATTTTGTGAGCTCTAAATCCCTGAGATTATAGTATGATTTATTGTGTATCTGATAACCTTGTTGAAATATATATGTCCTCAGAGACCATATAGGTTATTTGTAATGTATACTGTATGCTGGTGGGGTTAACAGATGTCACAGGGCTTTACCTCAGTGCATAATTATTAAACACTACTATGTCAGTTTATTGGCAAGATCACTATACCAATAGACAAGTTTAAAATTAGGCTTATTTAATAGGGTTATATTTAGTGTTGTGTTCCTTGAATAAACCTGTAAAGTCCAGGTTTTGTGAGAATCAAAACGACCTTTAGTCATAATCATAGGTCTTAATCATCGATGCCAAGAAACCATGTCCTTCTGGCTGCAAAGTTGTTCCTGTTTGTGTGGATGTTATTGTTCCAGAAAGATTGCTGTAGGTCAATGTTACACTGGGGCTATCAGCTAAATCATGGCCATAGGACCAAAATGAAAAATGCGAGGTGCTTTGCTGCTTATTTCAGGCGAATGTTGTCATAAAAAATGAACCGTGCACTGAATGTTTCTGCTCACTAACAGTATCCCTTAATGAGATGAATGAAAGCAAAATAAAAAAGTAATTAAACCCATGGCACAGAGGTGTTTGTCATCCTGCTGCACTAAGTAAACAGAAATGATCTCACTACACTCCTGAATAGCATTCAGTGAAAACAAGGAATGTTTGTTGCATAATGAATACTGTTTTACTTACTTTCTGCTACCTGAATTCTGAGTCTTTGGCCCCTGAGACATTTCACACTGTTTTCAGTCGTGTCGTAAATTATCCACTTAAATGTTCACATATCAGTTATAGCATCCCAAGCGAGCGACTGTTTCTCCAGGTACTTTAGGAGTCTGTTTGTTGTTTCTAGGATTTATTGGTAAGGTTGAGTTTCAGAGGGCGGGGGTGGGGTGGGGGGGGGTTCCCAGAGAATTTCATTCATCGGCTTTGAACGAAGGGGGGTTTCCCTCCCCTCTGGCCTTTCTGCTTATTATTATTATTATCAGCTCCAACAAGTGGAGGAGCTGAAAGGCGCCATATTGCGGCCGTCTTGCCCGTCTCTTTGGGCACTGAGGGATGTCCTTGATACGGGGAGGACAGAATTCACTAGGAAAAGCACCACCACTCTGCAGCCATTCACACGGACGCCTTGTAGTGCCAGACAGCACATATAGGCAGAGCCCGGGGGGGTTGAGATGCTGGTGAGATATAAACCATACTGCTACTGTGAAGCTGACTGGTAGCACTGAATGTTGCTGCCGACTGGCTTTAGAATCTTGTACTAAAATATATATCCCTTAACTGGATATATTATTTTATACTCTCCTTCATTTACTTTGGATCTTTCGTTCTGTTCCAAAGTGCTTGTCAAAATAAGTGATCAGCTATTGGATATATTAATGACAGCAGCAGGTGGAAAACACCATGGAACTAATGAAATGCAAATGTGTGACGAGCGCTTGCAGGAACCCGGTCTGGAAAATTCTGCCGTGACCCAGCATGGGCCCAGCATCCCATCAGACACCACCCCGATTCCCAACAATGGCTGGACAAGGCCCATTATGTGTTAATACCTCAGACACCTAGATGGATACATTTCTTTGACGATTCCCTCCACCCTTCCACATCGCAAGGCCATTTTCCCAGGCAGGAAACATGCCCCCACAGACGTGTGGTGAAGCTCTGGGGGTTGATACAAGCGAGTTTGCGCTAGTTTATGAAAACATCCTGACTCAGACACTCCCTCCCTCCCCCAATCCACCACCCGCCACTTCCTCTCCATCCAGCGGCCTCTTGTGCTCTTCCTGACAAGCAGCCAGTTTCCTCCTTGGCTCTGTGCTCATCTCCACCTTGCAGGATATGAAGACCTTGAGGAGCTGACATTCACTGCTCTGTTTTAAAAATGCTTTTTCCAGCTGCCACTTCCTGTGTTGTCGTGTGCTTTTCAAACACAGAGAAATGTAACGTACAGAGATTCACTGAAGCTAGAATCAGGATAATACTGCAATACTGTCATTTAAAACCAACATAAAGGAATCATCTAGTCTTATTTGTTTTGCATACGGTAAACTGTACATAAAATAATCTTCATGGTCACCACTAGTAAAAACTTGGCTACCCCCTGTTGCCACCCCAAATAATAAAAACGAAATATGGATTATTTCCTTTTCTAAGTGGAACCACAGAAGTGACAGGGTGCGGTGTGGCCACCACCATAAACATAACTGGTCCCTGAAGGCCAATCCCATCAAAATTTTCTCCAGGGGTCACATTTCGGCACATTTGCATATTGAATTGGGAATGCATATATAAAGCAGTTCAATTGTATTAACCTTAAAAACCATGCTTGTTCTGTTTGTACGTGTGTGTGTGTGTGTGTGTGTGTGTGTGTGTGTAAATAGGGTATCTGAAGTGGTGGAGTCCATCACCAACACAAAGATCCCCCATCATCAGCGCTTCTTGGAGTTTTTTGCTTCCTTTGCTGAGGATGAAGACTGCGAGACGGTTCCTCCCATCAGGTACCAATTCAGATGATGTGCCCAGCCGGACTGTCGTCTCAGAGAGCCACTGCGCTACATGGACCGACTCTGGATTTAAAAGAAGTAGCCCAGTGTGAAGGGAATTCCAGCAAAAATCTGGTGATTCTCCAGTCATTAGCAGTCACTTCTCAGTAAACATTTTGCCTGTACCTTCAGTAGTTCTTTAACAAGTCATAACTGGAAACTGAGAATTAAAAAATGGAAAATTTAATTTTTTGTTCAATGCATGAATGTTTTATCATGATTGATCATACGTTATAGACTTTGATTTTTGAAGAATGTTTGTGTTTCATATTAGAAAAAATTCTTAAAATATTTTACTGTCCATAAACATCCAATTGAGATCAATGCTTTATTGTATACGTACAGAAATTCATGATTTCAATTTTAAATTCTTGAGTTAAATGTCACTGTATAAAAAATACATGATGTCTGTTTCCCAACAGATATAACATGTAGTCCCATTTTACAGTTGACTATTGTGTGATGAAAATCAAATAAAGATAATGACTAATTTAAAAAGAATGGGTTCCATTGTTTTCTTTGTTACGTGGCCCAACAATCCATACAACTTAACATTATCATTTCCAATTGATATTCAGCATGAATGCGGTAGGATGACTCCTGATAGTGTGATACAGAAGAATCATTCTCACCCCACGAACAAGCCAGGAAGTGGGGGGGAAGGTTTTTGTTCACAAGTCTCCCTCTCGAGTCAGTTCACCCAGCTTCTTTTCACACTCACCGAAACAAGATGACCATAAAGCTTTTTGCAAAAAAAAATTATCGCTAATGAAATAAATGGAACTTACTGTTTCCTGAGTGCTAGATATTTAACCAAAACTTTGCAGATTAGATTTCTTGTGCAAAATAACAACTCTCTTCCTCCTTCATCAGCCTTCATTTTTCCAGGTCTATGTTGGTTATTAGAGCCGTGATCCTCACACTTACTGCAAATGCTGCAGCAAAGAGGTTACAGACACCTGTAGAACATTCACATGGATTTTTTGCCAATATGTAAGATCGATATATTTTTATGATTCTTCTTTATATTTTATGTCTTTTATGTGTCATCTGTGCATGAAGATATTTTCAGCAACTGTGAATTTTAGTTATTCTATTTATTTAGGTTTTTGTATGACCTAACAAACGTTTCTCATCTCTATGGCCATGAATCAGACACTTTTTCCTGTGTGGTATGTTATGATTTTCCTGTAGCCTCCTGTGGGGGTTCCACCCCGTTTCACATGTTTTCTTTTGTATTAATTTTGTTTTGCTTTTTGTGCTGATCAACTCAAACAGCACTGATGAGAAAGGTCAGAGGGATTTGTGCTCCCCAGCAAATGGAAAATTAGATCTGACTGTGTATTGGAGCCTTTTGCAGCTACATTTGTTGACCTGTGTCTCACAGGCACACTTTACTGGGAGTTACAGACAGGAAGATCCACTAACCATTTAGGTCAAAGGTAACTGAAACAGCCCTTGTTGGCTTCTAACAACTGGGAATAGCATGTTTAAAGAAAGCAGCACGTGTGTCTGACTTAACACAAAAGAGCAAAATACAGTCATTTTAAAAAAATTATTATGGGAAATTATGAATGTCATGTGCTTAACTGTCATTTTGGTTTTGACAGTAAAATATGTTTTGCAATTTTGGTATTTACCGTAAAATTTTCATCCATTTCAAAGGTTCCTTATGTAGAAAGAATATCCACCATTTTTACAAATGTAATATGGGGTTGCTTGAACAATAATTTTACAACTAATGTTTTCATAATATTACACTATAACAATTATGAGTTTGTTGACTGTCTTTTGAGCTTCAACAGTAAGCACTTTTTAACTAAATGTTAAGAATGAAAATACATTTTTGGATTTAGTTTCTCTTAAAATAATGATGCAACTGTCACCCAAGAAACATTTTTATCATTACATAAAATTTTATTTTAACATAACATTATTGACAAATATACAGGATACAAAAATAGAGTATGTTCTGAAGCAGTGTTTTAATGGAAAAGACATAAATAATTAGCTGTAGTGGTCGGTTAGATGTACCCAATTATGTCATTACATATGATTGGCTGTCGACTACCAGTCTTCATGAGAGCGGTGAATTGGTGAAAGTCCCTTCCTGTCTCATTTAAGCCTGTGTGGGACTGGTGAAAGAAAGGAACTTGCGCCTGGAACCCAACGGGGCAAGAGAGACGTTTCGGTGCTGCAGCAGATCTGCTGAGCCGAGTTGAATTCGCCAATCTCCCCCGACTCTCCAAGTTTTTTGACACTCCAGCTAATTTCCGCCGCATGTTGACCAGAAGGTCTTTGCCAAGCCTTTGTCCAAGCTTGGGCTTGAGATCTGCTGGGTCAGGGCAATCTGGTAGGTCCATCCAGTTCTCTATGAGGTCCGCAAAACTGTTGTCCCCTAGTACTAGAGGCTGCCGGTTACGACCACGGGTCAGAAGAGATGTTGTCCAGTCTGCAGGGTCACTGGCCTCAAAGGATGTCCAGCGCTCCAGACAGGCATCTGAGGTGGATTTGGGCCGCGCACGACTGCTGGCGGCCCTGTTGGTCCGGTGATTTCGGCACCGGCGTAACACCACCCCATCGTCCTGCCAAGATGCCTCAGAATACCCTGAATCCACGTCCAGGCTCCTTTCGCTGCTGCGGGAAATCAGCGCCAGCCGGCTGCCCCTCTCCTCCCTCTCCTCCTGGGGACCAGCCAGACAGCAGGCAGAATCGTAAGCACTGGCATCACTGGCATCTGAGATTCGGTGGCTCGTCGGTCGCTCCCACTGCAATGTCCCCTGCTGGCAGGAATGTGACACTGCAAAGGAGTGGTTGGCTGGCGCACACCCACTGCGCACTTGCTTTAGGTCCTGCAGTGACCTCATCATGTACTGCATCTGCTCCCGAAAGCAGTCACCAGTGTTCCGTAAGCACAGCTGTGGGACCAAAACAAAGAGTGAGCAGGTTACATACAGGCAGACATAGAACGCAGTGCTTTATTTTTTCTTGACTAAAAACCAACATGCCTCCTCAGCCTGCATCACTCTGTAGCTTAGTGAAGAAATGCTTCACAAAGAATTGGACAATGAAACACAGTCAAAGGTTCTCTATTGTAATTTCTGTTTTGCAGCTTTAAAAAAGCAACATAATGCAGATTCCTCTCTGGACTCCTTCCTCCTAGATGATAACTGTTTTAGTTCCTTGCCAAATTCTCTTCCTGGATAAGCCCGTCCAACATGCATGGGCTTGCACGAGAATTGTATAGACCTTTCCTGACAGCACCCTCTGTTCTTCAGAAAGGTGTGTCTTACAGCAGATACCGTAGCCCCTGGGCCCTTCTGCTTCACAGAGGCCTGAAGGGGATGATGTTCCTTTCACCTTTATCTCAAGAACTACACTGTTGCCTTTGGCTGGAATCTTCAGCAATGTCACTCCTCTCATCACACAAAACTGTTTCCCATATTAGGGTGAGTATTGTTAAAATGAGAGACTTTCTGAAAATTTGCTTTCTGGAAAAATCATCTCAGTGTCTTGAATCCCAACTTGATACCATTCTAAATACATCGATGCCTCTTGAACACTACATATAAGAGAAAACAAAGTATTACTAAACACATATATTAATTGCAAAGTTTAATTGTCTCATTTTGCCAGGTGTCCCATTTTCACAATACTCACCCCAACTCTACACTCATCAAATATAACTGTAAGGTTTCACAATCGTCACATGTAGTGAGATGTTTATATATTTAGATACATGAATATGAATTGTGGGAACAGGATGCCTATTAGAAAAAAGGAAACCCTAAGGAACTGGTGCAGTGACACCTGAAAGAGCATGAGAAGGCATTTCCTTTGCTCTAACATACCGGAAAGCCAACTGATTCATGCAGATTTTCAAAAATGAACAATGGGAGTCTGAACTCAAAGAATCTGGTCTAAAACAAAGAACGTAAGAAAAGGTAGATGCCTTAATGCCCAAAAGGCACACAAAGAATCTCAGTTTTAAATAACACCTCATGCTGTTTTCACAGGAAGGTATTCAAAGCTACTGTCAATTTTCTTTCTTTTTTAATCTTCCAGAGTCGATAATAATTTGGGATATGTAATATAGAGTAACACAGTACGAATACTTTGAATTAAATATAGAGGGAATATTATGTCCTACCCAGGAAGTCCCATTTTTAAGCTAAGCGTGATTAAACATGCCCCTTGGGTTTAGGGCTGTGCAACACTTCGAGGAAACATCAACCACAAAACAAAATGTTGTAATATATAAATTAATTTTAATAAATTATAGTTTTGTGATGCTTGTTCGCGCAAAACAAGAATTCTTAACATGCCTTGACCCTTCTCCCTTCTCCCACAACTGTGGATCTGAGTGACACAACTGCAGCTGTGAAAACTCCACCATTTGGCTTCAGAAAGGGTGCCTTTGATAGACAGAAGGATGGGATCACCATTTGGGCCTTTACCAGGAAACATTCATTCTCAGATTAAAACTATGGCTTCTACAATACAACGGTTTCGGTGTAACTTATTCTTGGGACCCCTATTCAAGTTCTTCTCATGAACAAGCGGTTAATTCACAGCCATAGATTCAGGAAGCCCATTGGCTGCCTTGTGATTTCAAAGGCAACTAGTAACATTATGGAGATCAAGAATTCTTTGAACTTTATGTGATTCAATTATTGCTCGGATTCTAGTTTTAACTAGAGAACAATGTTTCAAACCTGGCCAATTTACCTTGATTGTGTAAACGTATATAAAATTATACACTTTTATATAAATCTTCAGATATAACATTCTATTGTTTATTCACAATCATTCCTTGTCTGCAAGGATTATATAAATAAAATGCATGTACATATATACTAAACAAAATGCACTAACGCATATTTACCCTTTTTGCATCAAACTCCGCAATAAGCTGAGGGCCATATGTTTTAAGTAACAAACAATGCGACAATTTGCCTAAACTTTAGGAAACTAAAATTTACAATGCTTTGTAATGTCTAAATAAAGATATCTAACTATAAGAAAATATATTTAAATATATTCAAGATGAGAAATACAGTCACACTGTATGGACATTTATATAATTCCTTGGTAAGACCCCACCTAGAGTATTGTGTGCAGGTTTGGTCACCATACCTTAAGAAGGACATTGCTGCCTTAGAAAAGGTGCAACAGAGGGCTACAAGAATGATTCCTGGTCTTAGAGGAATGTCTTATGAGGAGAGGTTAGCTGAGCTGAATCTGCTTAGCCTTGAGCAAAGGAGACTAAGGGGGGACATGATCCAGGTCTATAAGATTCTAACGGGTCTGAATGCTGTTCAGCCAAATGGCTATTTCAATATTAGTTTAAATACTAGAACTCGTGGCCATAAGTGGAAATTAGCGGGAGAAGATTTTAAAACGAATTTGAGGAAGCACCTCTTTACACAGCGTGTAGTTAGAGTATGGAATAGTCTTCCTGCTAGTGTAGCGGAAGCTAAAACCCTGGGTTCCTTTAAATCAGAGCTAGATAAGATTTTAACAACTCTGAGCTATTAGTTAAGTTCTCCCCAAATGAGCTCGATGGGCCGAATGGCCTCCTCTCGTTTGTAAATTTCTTTTGTTCTTATGACAGTTCAGATACCAAACAGCCCAACTACCTGATTTTGGACTGCATAAAACTCACATAATACACGAAAATCAGACAAACTCCATACATACAGTGTGGAAACAGGACTCAAAATCCCCAGGACACAGTACTAACTACCGCACGCCTTGTGGTACAACTATTCATTGGACACAACAGATCACCTTCACTTCATACCGTCCATTAACCGCATTTACTTCATCACCTGTGTGATGAACTCAGGACTGTAGTGTCAGCCGGGGGCTTAAACGGTACCATTTGATTGCACACTAAGCTGTAAGTTCACTTTTTGTTTCTCTTAAAGAGACATCCAACACTTTGAATTACATGTGTTGATATTTGATATTTATTTACTTGGTAAAAACTAAGAAACTTTCAAAAACATTTTGCAGGCGCATACCATTTGATGATTTTCGTAAGATCTAAAGATCTTTTTAGTCTCATTACTTAAAGGGGTATATTTGATAGAATGTCCAACATAATATAACATTTTAAAGCAACGTTAAACATTTTAAATAACTTACCATTTATTCCCTTTGGTACGTTTCTGCCACAACCCGCTTTGTGAAAGAGACAGATGTGAAGATTTAGCGATGTTAAAAAATATTACTTTTCCATAAAAAATACTGCATTCTTAGTAATATCTATTTCCGACAGACACTTTCTTCGCACAATGTCAACTTTCCAGTGAAAACAATAAATCTTTGGGCGTTGACCTGTTTCTTTTTGCAGCTTCTCTTCCTCCGGTGTTTTACATGCATTTGTAATTGCATGCAGTAGTCCACCGCACTTTTGTACGCGGGCCCTCGTTCCCAGATGCGGGGAGCGGCCTCGCAGCGTCACGCAGCGAGCCTATAGGAGGCCCCTGAAATCTGAGACTACAGAAATCTGTCTACAGTCCACCTCTCATCACAAAAACAGAAGAGTCGTCTGCGGGAAGTACCGCTGCAAATGAGGAAAGTCACCTGTAGTTCCAAGATTGTCCTGCGAGAAGTTGGTGGAAACATTGATAAGTTCCGTATTACTCTCTTTAATAATGTTTAATGTATCACAACACATCCAGGTAAACCGTCTTGGGACAACTCTGTTGTCAAAGGCGCTATATAAAATATTGAATTGAACTGAAAAAGTAAATGTTTAAAAACAAAAAAAGGATTGACTATCAGTATTTATTGGTATAAAATTATGTTTGTGAATGGCACTTGTATAGAGGAATATCCACTGTCTTTTCATGTATCATAAGTAGGTTAATTGTCCAAACCTTATATATGTATGTATGTAAGATATGTTTAATATTAATAAACTAGTTCGATTAGTCAGAAATCTGTGACAGGTCAAAATGTTGCCGGTTCGAATCCCACAGGCTAATATTTTCACTTTTCAAATGTGATTAGTAGATATTTGCAATATTGCTTTTTATGTCATACCATGCGATGGAGTTTAATTTATTACTAAACACATATATTAATTGTCGCTCCTCTCACCACACAAAACTGTTTCCCATATTAGGGTACGAGTATCATTAAAATGGGACACTTTCTGAAAATTTGCTTTCTGGAAAAATCATCTCAATGTCTTAAATCCCAACTTGATACCATTCTAAATACATCAATGCCTCTTGAACACTACATATAAGAGAAAACAAAGAATTACTAAACACGTATATTAATTGCAAAGTTTAATTGACCCATTTTGCCAGGCGTCACATTTTCACAATACTCACCCCAACTGTTCATTTGCATACAGCTTCTTTAGTTGTCTGCATGGATTAGTAATTAGTCAACACAAAAGGATTTAAAAGGTTTATTGTCATTTGTACTGCTACAAGTATTGAGCGCAGCGACATGCTTATTGCGTGTTTGCTGCAGACAGACACAGGATAAGGAGACATAGCATTAGCACTTAGGTAGGATAAATATAATTTTAAAATGAATATATATGTGTGCATGGGCGAGTATTTTAGCCTCGATGAGTCGATGGCAATCTTCCTTAAGGTAAACTTGACCTAGCCCCTGATCTTCTCAACAGCTAGAAACGGTCGTGTGTGTGTGTGTGTATGTGTGTGTGTATATATATATATATATATATATATATATATATA